CACTGCGGCCGGCGCACCGCGCTGATCCGATGGCAGGAGCCAGGAGCCAGGTGCTTTTCCTGGTCTCCCATGGGGTGCAGGGCCCAAGCACCTGGGCCATCCTCCACTGCACTCCCTGGCCACAGCAGAGAGCTGGCCTGGAAGAGGGGCAACCGGGACAGAATCCGGCGCCCCAACCGGGACTAGAACCCGGTGTGCCGGCGCCGCTAGGCGGAGGATTAGCCTAGTGAGCCGCGGCGCCAGCCAGAATTAATGCCTATCTTTTTAATTTTTCAAGATTTATTTATTTATTTGAAACTCAGATTTACACAGAGAGAGGAGAGGCAAAGAGACAGAGAGAGGTCTTCCATTCACTGTTTAACTCCCCAGTTGGCCACAATGGCTGGAGCTGTGCCGATCCAAAGCCAGGAGCCAGGAGATTCTCCTGGGTCTCCCATGTGGGTGCGGGGGCCCAAGCACTTGGGCCATCCTCTACTGCTTTCCCAGGTCATAGCAGAGAGCTAGATTGGAAGTGGAGCAGCCAGAACTTGAACCGGTGCCCATATGGGATGCCAGCACTGCAGGGGGAGGCTTTACCCGCTATGTCACGGCACTGGCCCCAGTGCCTATGTTTTCAAAAATTTGCAAGACAGGGAGAAGAGTATGTATGTTGCACACTAATGCTTTCTTGATCTGTTGTATCTTTCCCTCTTATTTTTAAAAGATTTAAAAAAAATGTTTATTTGAAAGACAAAGTTACAGAGAGAGGTAGAGAGAGAGAGAGAGAGAGAGAGGGAGAGAGAGATCTTTTATTTGCTGGTTCACTCTCCAAATGGCTGCAATGGCCTGAGCTGAACCAATCCAGAGCCAGGAGCCAGGAGCTTCTTCCAGGTCTCCCACATGGATGCAGGGGCCCAAGGACTTGGGTCATGCTTGCTGCTTTCCCAGGAGCATTAGCAGGGAGCTGGATCGGAAGTGGAATCTGGACTCAAACCGATGCCCAGATGGGATGCCAGTGCTGCAGGGGCTGGGGCTTTGACTGCCATGGCCCAGACCCTTTTCTGTCTCAGTCTCTAGAGTTCTGGTCACAGTTCACTCAATTGTTGGTGCAACTCATTTATGGGCCACAATCTGCAGCTGTAAATCCTAATCTAGATTATTTCTGCCCTTTTCAGTCTGAACAGGAGAACAAGCCACTATCATTCCATACTTGATGTTTCAGTGTACACCTGCTGGATTTACATAAATTAAGCTTCTTCTAACTAATCAGGAGAAATCTAACTGGAATCATCTTGGTATTGCCTGTAGCTATCGTTTCTCTTTGATAACAAACCAAAAAATTAAGTGCATGACTTATTTTACCTACTCGGATAAAATTTTGGCTCAGCCCCTAGCTAGCTGCCTGGGTTTTTAAAATCTATATATCAGAAATGACAGTAACATGTTTATCTTCTACCTGGTTAAGCCATGCAAATAGTACATGGCCTGATACATAGTCGTTGTTCAAACAATGTTGCTGGCTATGTTATTTGTTATTTAATTAAGCTGTCAATATAGTAGCAGGGACTTGAAAGCAGCTTAAATTAAGGGGAGGCGAAGTTCTTGGCAATAAATAGGAATCTGAAAGATTTCGAGGTGGACGCGCCTTACCATGGACAGACACTAGAGGGTGCTCTACGCTCAGAAAGTCGCCTATTTCCAGGCCCAGGGATTCTGCCCGGAACTGTCCCTTCGTCTCATGATTTATTGTGGAGAAGCAGTTACTGCTTTGGTTCCCAAACTTAGACCCTTGGGAAAACGGAAGGGGAGAGCAAGCGGCTATATCGAGCAGAAATGGGGCTCCCTCAGACTTGCAGCACACTGGGGGTCTAACGCACCCACAAGTGTGGGGCACACAGCAAGCGCTTTGCAAAGGCTGATGCAGTGGGACCGTCCAGAGGCAGCGTCTGATGTCTAGGTAATTGGCATTCCAAAGAGGCAAGAGCTGGCGTGCGTGAGCTTAAAGGGAGCCCCTAGAGGGACCGGGGCTGGGGTTGGGGAGGACTGACCACAATGGTCTCCTTAAGTTCACGGGTTCTGGTGCTTTCTTTTTTTCCACATCTGGCTTTGGGTATTTCAAAACAGCTTTATGCTCCGTTTCTGTCTGGTCCTTCCTGGGCAAGGGTCTCCAGGCTTCTCGCTGAGCCCATCGCTCCCTGCAGAGTTGCAGGAACAGGAATCGTAGTTTAGCGTCGAGTCTGAGCGTCCCCCGTGGCCTCTATACTCCCATTTAATGACGTCTTTATCTCATCTGGTCCTCACAAGTGCCCTGTGGAGCTGAGGTTAGACCCGCACTCTGCAGATGAGGACAAGGCAGGGTTTTGTATCTGGCCCGAGATCGCGCCATCAAGGACTGGCAGGACCAGTATTTGAGCTCAGATGTTTGGCTTCAAAAAGATGATTTTTTTATCTTTCACTTAAAAGAATAGCAACTGGGGCTGGCGCTGTGACATTGTAAGTTAAGCATCCGCCTGTGGTGCTGGCATCCTATATGGGCACTAGTTCAAGTCCCGGCTGCTCCACTTCCGATCCAGCTCTCTGCATATGGGAAAGCAGTGGAGGGTGGTCCAAGAGCTTGGGCTCCTGCACTCATGGGAGAGACCTGGACCAAGCTCCTGGCCCCTGGCTTCAGATCCAGCTCTGGCCATTGTGGCCAGTTAGGGAGTGAACCAGTGGATGGAAGCCCCCCGCCCTGTCTCTCCCTCTCTCTGTAACTCTGCCTCTCAAATAAATCAATCAATCTTTTTTAAAAAGAAATAACAATTAACAGTGTAGAGGGTGCAGATACTCTGTGTGATTTACATTTATTTCTTCATTTAATTGACACACAGACAGAGCTCATCTCATCTATTAGTACAAAAGAATTAATACAAAAATATAAAGGGACCAGGGTGGGTGTTGTGGAGCAGGAGGTTAAACCGCCTCTTGGGATCCCACATCCCATATTGGAGTCCTAGCCGTCGGGCTCCCCGCTAATGCATCCTGGGAGCAGTGGATGCTGGTTCAAGTGCTTGGGCCTCTGCCGCCTCGTGGGAGACCTGCGTGGAGTTCCAGGCTGCTGGCTGTGGCAGGCATTTGGGGAGTGGACCAGCAGATGGGACATTTCTCTTTCTATTTCTCTTTCTCTCTCTCTCACTGTACCTTTCTTTCTTTCTTTTTTGAAATATTTATTTATCTATATGAAAGGCAGGGTTACGGAGGGGCAAAGGCAGAGAGAGAGAGAGAAAGAGATACTGACCTTCCTTCCACTAGTTCACTCCCCAAATGGCCTCAATGGCCAGAGTTTAGCCAATTCAAAGCCAGGAGCCAGGAGCTTCCTCCAGGTCTCCCATGTGGGTGCAGGGGCCCAAGGACTTGGGCCATCCTCTCCGTTACTTTCCCAGGTGTATTAGCAGGGAGCTGGAGAGGAAGTGGAGCAGCCAGGACTGGAGCCAGCATCCATAAGGAATGCTGGCACTGCAGGCGGTGGCTTTACCTGCCTCACCACAGTGCTGGCCCCTCACTGAACCTTTCAAATTAACAAAAATACCTAACATACAAAGGTTACTCTTATTTATTTGCTATTTGAGAGACAGAGAGGAAGAGCTCTCATCTGCTGGCTCACTTCCCAAATGCCTGTAAGGGCCAGGGGTGATCCAGGAACTCAGTCCAGGTCTCCCCGGAGGGTGGCAGGGACCCAATTGTTTGAGCCATCACTGCTGCCTCCTGGGGCCTGCGTTAGCAGAGAACTGGAGTCAGGAGACGGAGCCAGGAATCGAAGCCAGATTCTTACATATGGAGCCATGGCATTTTAACCAGTAGGCCAAATACCCACCAAAAAGGGCAGGATTAAAGCTGGGATTCTCTAGCCATAAACGTCTTGAAAAAGAACAAAGTTGAGACCTCACAATCAAGACAGTGTGGTCCTGGGACACGCGGGGTCAATGATGGATCAGAGGACAGAATGAAGGGTGCAGAGATAGACAAACGCACGGTGCCAAGGGCAAGACCTCGCAGCCAGGAGAGAATATTTTCACCAAGTGGTGCTAGAGCGACTGGACATCCACCTACAAAAGACAACTTGGGACTTCCAACTTGCACCATCTACAAAAAGCAGCTCCAGGTGTATCAGAGACCTAAATGTAAGAACAGAAACTATGGACCTCTCGGAGGAAAACGCGGTTGTAATCTTTGTGACTCTGGATTAGACAATGGTGTCTTAGATACGATGCAGAAGTGGAAAACATCCTGGAATCCAGTAAAGTGAGGATCCCACTGGGGATGGGGCTAACGCCTGTGTGGTCAGAGCACCTTGGGCCAGCGACATTGGAGTTGAGACTGTGGATGAGGAGGAGGGGTCAGTGGGTGTCTCTGTTAAAATGCAAGGCCAGTGATTCAAGTCCTGGCTGCTCCTCTTCCGGTCCAGCTCTCTGCAATGGCCTGGGAAAGCAGTAGAAGATGGCCCAAGTGCTTGGGCCCCTGTACCTGCATGGGAGACCTGGAAGAAGCTTCTGGTTCCTGGCTTCAGATCAGCTCAGCTTTGGCCGTTGCAGTCATTTGGAGAGTGAACCAGCAGATGGAAGGCCTCTCTCTGGCTCTACCTCTCTCTGTAACTCTGCCTCTCAAATAAATAAATAAAATCTTAAAAAAAAAAAATACAAGGCCAGGGTGAGCCACTCCCACCCGCCCCCCACCCCCGCCGTGGGCCTGCAGCTCACACTTTACGGAGGTGTAGGGCACTGGAAAGTGCACAGATCCCTCGTCCTGAGCCATCTCAGAGCCTCAAGTACCCCGGGCCTTATAGGAAAGCAAGAGCGGCCCGAGCCGCCAAGCCCACGGCAGAGTCAGCAGAGCGCAGGTGGCCCAAGAACGTACTGGAAGGGTCTTTGTGCTTTGTCACTGTGACTGTTGCCCCTGTGATCAGGCAGCAGGGTGCGGGCGTCTGGCCCGAGCGTGAGGTCAGCTCAGGCAGCTCCCCCTCCGCCCTCCCTGCCTTCCCACAGGCATCTGCGATGAGTGAGACCTCTTCCATCCCAGTGGAAATTCCTGGTCTGCGGAGAAGAGAAAGGACCCCTGAATTCTGATGGTTGGAAATGTCCTGTCGGTTTCTCAAGGGGATTAACATCTCTCCGACTCTTGCCCTGCAAAGCCATCACTTGTACAGGGCAGAGGTGAAGCGCTGAGGACCCCCACCACACACACACACATGCACACACACACACACACACGCGCGCGCCAGCTGTGGTTTTCCCAGCCTGGCATTGCTGCATGGGGCAAAGTTCCATCTCCCCTTGTTCTCTAACTCTCCCAGAGAGGCTGTGCCCCGTGTTTTAACTGAACCACAGCTGAGGGCCCCTGCAGATCCTGCTCCAGCTTCTCTTCCACTCAGAAGCGTGCATGGCCCCCAGGGTGGTGGGGTGGCGGGGGTGGGGTGGGGCGGGGAGCGCCGGACGGACTTGAACTCACTCAGAGCACCTTGTTTTTGCAGACAGCCGACCGCCCAGGGTGGAAAATGGAGACAACTGGCTTTCCACGCCTTTCCCAGAAGCATTTCTGGCCGAGGGAGGAGAGCACAAGGCCTCGGCGCTGGCCCTGCCGGGTTCATGGCCCTGAGCAGCAGGTGCCCAGAGGGGAAGAAGGGGCTGCAGTGGTGGCAGCCGCGTGTCACCCAACGTGGAAAGCGAGGGGCTTTGGTCCAGAGCTGGTTCATCTGCCTCCCACAGGCTCAGACTCAGCCCTGGAGGTGCCCCAGGCTGTAGGACATGAGCCCCCAAGCTGGGTAGGGGCTGCAGGAGAAAGGGGTGTTCAAGGTGGGGGGGCCACGGCAGGGAACACCCTCGGCTTGGGCCCCTTCTGGTTGACAGCCCACTGAAAGGGAGGGGCAGGGTGTCGCCCCCTTGGGTGACCCAGGCAGATGCCAAAGTCCTGAGGTATCCCTATCACACCCACGCCGCCTCCCGCCAGGCGGCCGGCGGGGGTCAGTGTTTGGCCACAGGAAGCTAGTCTTGCAGCTACTCTACTGGTCTGTCTGGACTTGTTCCCTGGGCCAGGTTCTCACCTACCAAGACTCTACCTCCTTCCTGGTGGTCCTAGGCTATCCTTCCTACTTATTTATTTAAAAGATAGAGAGAGAGCGAGCGAGAGAGAGCGAGCTTCCATCTGCTGGTTCACTCCCCAAATGGCCACGACTACTGGGTCAGGCAAAAGCCAGGAGCCAGGAGCTTCTTCCAAGTCTCCCAAGTGGGTGCAGGGGCCCAAGGACTTGAGCCATCCTCCACTGCTTTCCCAGGCGCAGTAGCAGGGAACTGGATCAGAAGTGGAGCAGCCAGGACTAGAACCGGCGTCCGTATGGGATACTAGTACTGCAGGCAGAGGCTTAACCTTCTATGCCACAGTGCCATAAATATTTATTTATTTTCATCTACTTGAAAAGTAGAGAGAGAGAGAGAACTGAGACCAGCATTGTGGTCCATAGGTTAAACCACCACGTGCAACACCAGCTTCCAATCCAGTTCTCTGCTAATGCACCTCGTAAAACAGCAGCAGGTGTGCCCTTGCCACCCATTTGGGAGCCAGGATGGAGTTTTTGGCTCCATTCTTCAGCCTGGCCCAGCCCTGGCTGTTGCAGCCATTTGGGGAGTGAACTTGTAGCTGTTCTACCTTTCAAATAAATAAATATCTGTTGGTTCATTCCCTAAATGGCTGCAGCAGCTGTGGCTGGGCCAAGCTGAAGCCAAGGAGACCAGAACTCCATCTGGGTTCCCCACATGGGTGACGGGAACCCAAACACTTGAGCAAACACCTGCTGCTTCCCGGGATGCATTAGCAGGGAGCTGGATCAGAAGCGGAGTAGCCAAGACTCCAAACCGGAAGTTTTGGGTTCAAGTTCCTGGTCTGCCAGTTACCACTGTGTGATCTTGGGCAAGTCACTTTACTTCTCTGTGTCAAGTTTCTCCTGTTTAAAAGATGAGCTCGTGACAGTAAGAATGACTGCTATGCTAGGTGCCAAGGGTCCTTACGCCATGTACCAGGTGCATGTTAATATGCCAGGGCTTAAGGTGAGGAGCCCGGCCCTGAGAGATGAGTGACAACAGGAAGTAGCAGAGCGGGCTGCAGAACACGGCTCTGTCCCTCTCTGCTGTGTGACTGCCTGGCAGAATGCAGTGAGAATTAAAATTCAAAAATGGGCAGTGAAGATACAGTTAGGATGCCCACGTTTCCCAGAGGGGGGCCTGAGTTGGGTCCTCTGCTCCAACTCCTGACTCCAGCTTCCTGCTGGTGCAGACCCTGGGCTACAGCGGTGATGGCTCAAGTAATTGTCACTCACACAGGGGACCTGGATTGAGCTCTGGGCTCCCAACTTTGGCCTGGCCCAGTCCCAGATGTGTGGGACTTTGAGGAGTGGGCCAGTGGATGGGAGCTGTCTTTGTCTGCCTCTCAAATAATTTTTAAAGATTTATTAAGTAAAAAGGCAGAGTTACAGAGAGAGCAGGAGAGACATGAGGAAGAGAGAAAGAGATACTCACACAGACGGAGGTATCTTCCAGCCACTGGCTCACTCCCCAAATGGCTGCAAAGGCTGGGGCTGGGCCATGTTGGAAGCAAGAGCCTGGGACACCATTGGGGTCTCAGGTGGCAGGAGCCCAAGGCCTTGGGCCGTCTTCTGCTATTGTCCCAGGTGCATCAGCAGGGAGCTGGATTGGAAGTGGAGCAGCTGGGACTCAAAACTTGCAGTTATATGGGAGGCCGGTGTGGCAGGAGGTGGCTCAACCCACTGCGCCACAACACCAGCCCCTCAAGTGGTTTTATTTTTAATGTAAAAATTATGTTATTACTGTCCTCTGGCAGTCTGGCCTAGACCCTGGTGGGTGCTGACTCCTACCAAGAGGGGAAGCAGGAAGCAGGGGGCAATGCCTTTGGATCGTTAGAAGCGTCCTTAGTGGGCTGTGAACTGACCCCGGCTCACGGAACATAAGCTTCAGAAGTGGGGGACTCCGCCCCTCCTGCTGTGTAGTAGATGCACAAGAAATACGAAGAAATAGACCAGTCCCCACTCCTCCCACGTCCACTCCAGGACGGGTCCTAACGGAGTCGTTTTTCATATCAACTGTTCAGCTGCCAGGCGGTGATGCCGATTACGGCTTTCATTCAAGGGCATTACTGGATCTCCTACGACTCCTACCGCTCTCCGTTGTCGAAACCATGCCGATTCAATAACAGCCTTTCTATTAGCATGGTCATGGGATAAATTGAGTACACCAGCTGGATGATTCAGCCTTGTGACTCACAGTGCTGAGGCTGAGATGTGGAGAAATGACAGACAGAGGAGAGTGACAGCTGTCAGAGAAGCACGTGGCTCTAACGTCCCAGGAACGCACTCCCGAGGGGCCAGAGAGGCTTCCGCAACCCTGGCTTTGTCTCCATCCTCCACCTGCTTCAACCAGTGATTGGCTCCTGTCCAGAGCATGCGTGAGGACCTTGACTCTCGGCGCTGATGAAGCCTACAGGTGCAACACCAAATCCTGGAGTGCTCTGTGTGTGTGCGGACCTACAGGGCGGCAGCAACGGGAGGGCAGAGGAAAGGGAGCCTTCGGCTCAGCACCACGGAACTGGGGGAGGCCGTTTGATGCAGTGCCTCTGCTGCTGCTCGGGATGCCTGCACCCCATATAGGCGTGCCTGGTTCAAAACCCAGCTCCCCGTCTCCCGGTCCTGCCTTCCTGGGAGGCAGCAGATGAGAGCCCAAGCGCCTGGGTCCCTGCCACCCACCTGGGAGGCACGGATGGAGTTCCAGTTTCCTGGTTCTAACCTGGCCCAGCCCTGGCAGCTGTGGGGATTTGGGGAATGAACCAGTGGGTAGATCTGTCTCTTTGTCTTTAAAACAAAAGGGAAATAACTAAAATTTAGAAGATCACTCATGTTGTTTTTACAAAACACAAAGAATGGACAATTAAAACAGACTGTCTAGGGGCCGGCATTGTGGTGCAGTGGGTTAGGCCACAACCTGCTGTGCCAGCATCCCATATAGGCACCAATTCAAGCCCCGGGCTGCCCCATTTCCAGTCCAGCTCTCTGCTATGGCCTGGGAAAGCAGCAGAAGATGGCTCAAGTCCTTGGGCCCCTGTATCCACGTGGGAGACCTGGAAGACGCTCCTGGCTCCTGGCTTCAATCTGGCCCAGCCCTGGCCGTTGCAGCCATTTGCGGAGTGAACCTGTGGATGGAAGATCTCTCTCTCCCTTTCTCTCTTTGTAACTCTGCATTTCAAACAAATAAATAAAAATCTTTACAATTGACCTTAGCCACAATGCCTGAAGCGATAAATAAATAAAAATCTTTAAATAACAGCAACAACAAACACGTTTTCTGTGCTGACTGTCCCTGCGGACTCTCATTTTAAGGCAACACCACAGTTCAGTCACAGTCCCCAGGATTTTCTTCTTCTCTTGGTTGGCAGCGGCACAAGCAGTAAACACCTAGATTTGAGGCTTGGATGAGCCGACCCAGTGGCCACTGGGCTCCAGGTCCCTCCTCTCTAGGGGCAGGCGTGCTATTCTGGTTGTCTTCTGACTTCTCTGAGCTTTCCTTTTGTCATTGGAAGTCTCACCTGTTCTTGCCTTTTCCTGTTGCCTATAAGGGGGATTCCAGATTTTTGTCGACTGTCCTGTCTTCTTTACTCTTCTCCAGACTCAAGTTACAAAATAAAGAATGGGACCAGCATTGCGATGCAGCAGGTGAAACCCCCTTACTGGAGTGCTGGTTCCTGTCTAGGCTGCTGCCCACTTTGTATTAATTAATAATTATTTGAAAAAGTTACAGAAAGGGAGAGACGAGAGACAGGCAGACACAGAGAGAGAAAGACAGGTCTTTCATCCGCTGGTTCACCCCACAATGGCCCCAACAGCCAGGGCTGGACAGAGCAGAAGCCAGGAGCTTCATCTGGGCATCCCACATGGGTAGCAGGGGTCCAAGCACTCGGGCCGTCCTCCGCTGCTTTTCCCAGGCCGCCAGCAGGGAGCTGGATGGAAATGAAGAAGTTGAGACTCAAATCAGTTCCCACACCCACCATGCCGCAATGCCAGGCTCTGGTCTACTTCTTATCCAGCTCCCTGCTAATGCGCCTGGGAAAGCAGAGAAGATGGGTCCCTGCCAGCCATGTGGGACACTGGGTTAGAGTTACCGAGTCCTGGCTTCTGCCTGGCCCAGCCCCAGGCCAGGGCTGTTGGAAGCAGATAGAAGTTTCTCTCTCTCTCTCTCTCTCTCTCTCTCTCTCTCTCTCTCTCATAACATAAATGAATCTTTAAAGAAAATAAACAGCAACTTGGATTGGGTGTCCGTCCCTGACTTCCCAGCGGTAGCTGGGGAGGGGGCATTTGTGTGGACATTGCACCCACCACTGGAGTCACAGGGATGAAGCAGGAGAGGCGCACTCACTGGAGGAGACCTGGGGAGGAGCGTGAGACGACCACTGAGAGCCCCGCTGAGGACGTTTCAATCGGATGTCCCCACGGGTGCTTCCCATCTTCTCCAGAAAACCTGACTCCCCTCCTGTTCTGCCAACCTCAGTGAACGGGGCCGCCATCCGCCACGTCGCTCAGCTAGAGAATCATTCTAGAAAGCCCCTGTCTATCACCAGCCCCAATGCCGCTAATGTATCACCGAGCCCCGTTCTATCGCTACCTTCTGAGCATTCCTCCTGCCCACCTGTCCTGCTACCTCCTCAGTTTGAGGCCTTCTTCAAAGGTCATCTGGAATATTCACCTGTTGCTTAGCTGCACTGTCTGCTCCTAATCTTGCTTCCCCTAACCCCCTCTCCTCACTGCTGCCAGGGGTCTGCCTTTGTATTTCTAAACTTAGCAGACTGTTGTCTGACGCTATGAAAAAATCCATGATGACTTAAAGCATCAATTAATAAGGAAAAGACTAGAGGGGAATGAAACTTTTCCTGAAATTCTCTGTGTCTGTGTGTCATTGTGTCTTCACCTGGGGCTCACTCTGTGTCTGTCTCTGACTCCTAATTTTCCTCTTCTTAGAAGGAGCCAACCATCTTGGCTGGAGCCCACCCCACTTCAGTTAAGGACTTCACCTGAACTAACAGCGCTTGCTATGACTCTATTTCTTTTCCTTCTTTCTTTTTTCTTAAAGATTTATTTGTTTATTTGAAAGGCAGTTCCAGAGAGAGGGAGAGAGATCTTCCACCTGCTAGTTTACCCCCTAAGTGGCTGCAATAGCCAGGACTGGACCAGGCTGAGGCCAGGAGCCAGGGACTCCATTCAGATCTCCCACGCGGATGGCAGGGACCCAAGCACTTGGGCCACCTTCCGTTGCTTTCCCAGGCACGTTGGCAGGGAGCTGGATCAGAAGTGGAACAGCCGGGACTTTAACTGGTATTCACACGGTGGCTTAACTCACTGTTCCACAGCACCAACTCCAGTGATCCTGTTTCTGAATAAGGTCCTAGGGGTTTGGAATTCAACAGATCTTCAGAGGGAGGGCAGCACAACTCAACCCCAAACATACCCTGCCGCATTTTTTCACCTGATCAGCTCCTCTTCGTTCTCCTACCGAGGTGCGATCTCTCCAAGGCAGTTTTCCCGGAAGACTAAGTACAGGCCTGTGTTCCCCATAGCTGCCTCCACAATGGCACAGGGCATGCATTATTATCTGTATGTAGGCCATTTTTCTTTCTTTTTTTTTAAGATTTTATTTATTTGAGAGGTAGAGTTACAGTCAGTGAGAGGGAGAAAAGGGTCTTCCTTCCATTGATTCACTTCCCAGATGGCCGCAATGGCCAGAGCTGTGCCAATCTGAAGCCAGGAGCCAGGTGCTTCCTCCTGGTCTCCCAAGCGGGTGCAAGGGCCCAGGCACTTGGGCCATCTTCTACTGCTTTTCCCAGGCCATAACAAAGAACTGGATTGGAAGAGGGGCAACTGGGACTAAAACCGGCACCCATATGGGATGTTGGCACCGCAGGGGGAGGATTAACCTACTGTGCCACGGCACCGCCCTAGCCATTTTTCTTTAAACTATGGTTATAGTTCCTTCAAGGTTGGACCTGTGTCTTTCTATCTTGAATACGCCCAGACGAATGTCTTCTGTTAATTAGTTCAAGGGTACCTGAGCTGGAGATAAAAAAATACAGTGACTTCTAGAAAAATGCAGGTGTATGTCTGGGTTGGATGCTCCAAGGGGCCGGCTGAGGATTCTGGTTCCTTCCATTTCATTGCTTGGCCGACAGAGGGCTCTGTCCTCATCTGCTTGGTTAGGTAGCAGGCACATCTGTGCTCCAGCTTGTGGGGTCGGGGGAGAGGCTATTGGAAAATTCATGTTCAGTGTCCAAAAACTCAGCCACAAAGTCAGCCCCATCGTTTCTGCTCTTTCTGTCAGCAAGAGCTTAGTCACACGGCCCCCTTACTTGAAATGCAGGCTGGAAACATTCCTTCGTGAGCAACACTAAAACTCTCTTGCAGCTCCACAGCCCCTTATCTCCAGGTTCTGAGAGCTCAGAAGTTCTGGAAATCATAAGATTTTCCCCTAAGCTTGGCACAAACTCATGTACAGGCAAAATCTGACTTGAAATGACACAAGGAATTTATAGAGACATCTATAAAGGCTATTTATAGTCTTTATTTAACCCACTTAGAATGAATACTACTATATTTTTGTTGCAAAAGTGCCAATATCTTTGATTAAGCTCTCCCCAGACCCTGCTGGGGGAGTTAATGATGTGCTGAGTGTGTGGCATTTCATCTTTCTGAAAACAGTTCCCAAATTCATCTACAGTGTTGATCTCAGATCCAGGCAAGGAGCCACACACTGTGGAGGTCCTGCGTTTCTCTTCTTTTAAGCGTCTGTGGGCCCTCCATTGCCCTGAGCACCCTCTAATTCTAGACCATAACCCACACACCTAGGGCACTAGAATTTGCCTCCCAAATGGCCCGAAACCTGTACAGGCCTTTGCAGCAGGTCTGCCTTCTGGACAGAAGTGTATGCCTCTGATAGCTGCACTTGTAAGCCTGATATGACCACAGGGCAGTTTTTACAGTAATCAAGGGGGGAGGTTGACTGTGCAAACGAAGACGTCCACACATGTGTTTGTATAGCCCTCACGATGAGGCTAGAGTCAGGAGTACAAAAAGAAAGCGCATAGATGCCATTGTCCAAAATTGCAAATTGGACCCTGACCATATTTTTTTCAAGGTGAAACAGAACACAGGTCTTATTTGATGGCTTGTTAGCTTTGCTTGTGTATCAGATGTGAGCAGGTGGGCCTTCATTTCTCCTCTTGGCCCAGGCCCTGTATCTGTACACCAGCACCAGGGGTTTTGGAGAGCTTGTAGACATGTGCAATGGAGGAAAGGGAAAATAGGCACCACAGCTCATTCCTGGCACTTAAGTGGTACTCAGTAAGGGATACCGAATAGGTACTCAGTGAGAGGTTGTTGAGCTAAAGTAGAGATGACAACCAGCTCACAGATTCTTGGGCAGATCAAAAAGGTATTTGAAAGCAGTATGTCAGTTATGAAGGATTCTACAAATGTAGTTGATGATGATAATAATGAAGATTATAGAATGCAAATTTGGAGTGGAGGAGGGCCAGGGAAATCTAACAGTGGATTTATAGTAGATGAGCCAGAGGAGGTGGAATTGTATTTAACCTATGTGTGGAGGCTTGGCATTTTTGCGTGTCAAGACTTCAATCCATGAACATAGTATGTGTCTCCATTTAGATTCCTTTCATCAGGATTGTATAGTTTTTAGCATACAAGTCCTATTCATGTTTGCTAGCTTTTCATGTGGATACTTTTTTTAGTGATTATAAATGCTATATTTTAGGTGTTTTATATATTTATGTGTGTGCTATATATTTAGTGTCCAGTTGTTTATTGTTAGCATATAGAATATGGAAATGCAATTGATTTTTGTGATCTTGCTGGACTCTCTTGTCATTTCTAGGTGTTTTTTTTTTTTTTTTTGTAGATCCCTTGAGATTATGTGGATTTCATGTCATCCACAATAGGGACATTTTTGCCTGTTCATTCCCAATCCATATGCCTTTTATTAGGTGAATTCAAAAAGTTCGTGGAAAATAGAATTAAAAGGCAAGTTTATTTTGGGAAAAAATTTTTGAAATTGATGTATATGAGAGGTCTTCACAAAGTTCATGATGGGGCCAGCGCTGTGCTTCTCTCTCTCTCTCTCTCTCTCTCTCTCTCTCTTCCTCTCTCTTTCTCTCTGTCACTCTGCCTTTCAAATAAATAAATAAGTAACCTTTATTTTAAGAGCTCATGAGGGACAGTCCTTTGGTCTGGTGGTTAAGCCACTGGTTAGAACACCCTGTCCAGGGCTAGAGTGCCTGAGTCAGAGGCCTGGCTCTGGCTCCTGACTCTTGCTTTCTGCTAACAAAGATGATGGGAGGCAATGGTGATGACTCAAGTAGCTGGGCTCCTGCCACCATGAGGGAAGCCTGGATTGAGTTCCTGGGTCTTGGCTTTGGTCCCTCCAATCATTGTGGGCATTTTGGAAGTGAACCAGTGAATGACAGTCCTCACTTTCTATTTCTCAAATAATTTTTTTGAAAAGTGTGAGCTACCTGCTTTCTTTCTTTCTTTCTTTCTTTCTTTCTTTCTTTCTTTCTTTCTTTCTTAATTTGACAGGTAGAGTTATAGACAGTGAAAGAGAGAGACAGAGAGAAAGGTCTTCCCTCCGTTGGTTCACACCCCAAATGGCCGCTACGGCCAGCGCTGCACCGATCCGAAGCCAGGAGCCAGGTGCTTCCTCCTGGTTTCCCATGCAGGTGCAGGAGCCCAAGCACCCGGGCCATCCTCCACTGCCTTCCCGGGCCACAGCAGAGAGCTGGACTAGAAGAGGAGCAACTGGGACTAGAACCCAGTGCCCATATGGGATGCCGGCGCCACAGGCGGAGGACCAATCAAGTGAGCCACGGCGCTGGCCCTGCCTCCTGCTTTCTTAAAAAAAAAAAAAAAAAGAATATAGGGGACAGATGTTGAAGTGTGGTGGATTAAGCCACCATCTGCAGTGCCAGGATCCCATATGGGCACAGGTTTGTGTCCCAGCTGCTCCACTTCCCACCCAACTCCCTGCTAGTGGCCTGGGGAAGACAGTGGAAGCTGGCCCAAGTGCTTGGGCCCCTGCACCCAAGCAGGAGACCCAGATAAAGCTCCTGGCTTCTGGCTTCAGCCTCGCCCAGCTCTGGCTGTTGCAGGCACTTGAGGAGTAAACAAGTCAATGGAAGATCTCTCTCTCTCCCCTTCTGTCTCTCTCTTTCTCTCCTTCTCTCCCTGTCACTCTATCTGTCAAACAAATAAATAAATCTTTAAAAAAATGAAAAGGAAAAAGTCCATGAAAATGCATGCTATGCTAATGTTGAATGAATTCATATTTCTTTGTCTTTTCTTATGGTACTGGCTAGAACTACCAGCAGCATGGTGAATAAAGGAGCTAATCTCGGGGAAACACGGCAACTTTTACCACTGAGTAGAATGCTAGTGGGTTTTGTGGATGCTCTTTATCAAGTTCAGGATGTTCTTCTTGATTCTTATTTTTCTGAGAGGTTTGAAAAAATTATGAAATGGATGTTGACGCTTGTCAAATATTTCTTCTGCATCACTGATGTTATTATGTGTTTTTTCTTTATACTGTTAATATGGTGTCTCATACTGTTTGACTTTGGAATATTGAAGCAACCTTGCATCCCTGAAATAAACCCACCTGCATAATTTTTAAAAAAAGATATGTTTACTTATTTGTTTATTTGCAGGGCAGAATGATCGAGAGAGAAGGAGGGAGAAAGAGATTGTCCATCTGCTGATTCACTCCCCAAATGCCCGCAACACCTAAGGCTGGATCAGGCTGAAACCAGGAGCCAGGAACTCCATCCAGGTCTTCCATGTGGGTGGCAGGGATCCAAGTACTCAGGGGTCGTCTGCTGCTCCTGGGTACGTTAGCAGGAAGCTGACTTTGAAGCAGAGGTGGGACCCAATCCTATGGACTCAGGGGATGCAGGTGTCCCAAGCAGCAGGTTAATCCCACCCCCGTGCCATGATGCCAGCTCCTATAATTCCTTTTATATATTGCTAAATCCTATTTGCTGGTATTTTGTTAAGGTGTTTGCATCTGTATTCGTGAGGGATGTTGAGCTGTAGCATTTTCTTTTCTTTTCGGAATGCCTCCATCTGGTTTTGATATTGGGGTAACATTGTGTTCATAAAAATTAATTCAGAAGTAACCCTGCACTGCTGTTTCCTGGAAGAGAATGTGTAGAATTTCAGGCTTCTTAAATGCTTGGTTGAATTCTCCACGGGGCACTGGAGCCACCCAGACCCTGAAGTGCTAGAAGGTGGTGGTGGATTTCATTACAAATTCAGCTTTGACCTATTTCATACGAGATGAGTGCTGGGAGTGTGTGTTTTTTCAAGGGATGGGTTCATTTTATTTAAGTTGCCAAATTTATGTGTGAAGAGCTGTTTATAGGTACCAGTTCCCTGTGACTTCTGTAGCAAATTAACACAACTTGATGCTTGTAAAGGCACAGAGGTTTACCCTCTCACGGGTCTACAGGGCAGCAGTTCAAAATCAGCATCAAGGAACATAACCCAGGCGTTGGTCGGCAGGACCCCCACCCCCACAACACACACACACACACACACACAGGCTGCAGGGAGAGCCCGTCCTCACCTCTTTTGGCCTCTGGTGGCTTCTGACATTGCCTGGTGTGTGGCCACGTCACTTGCACCCGTGCCTCCCTGGTCACATTGTCTATCTTCCTGTGTCAAATTTCCCTAGGCCAGAGATTTCTTATAAGGACTTGTGATTGTACCAGGCCCACGGGGTAATCGCTTTATCAGAAAAATCCTTACTTAATCATATCTGCAAAGACTATTTTTCCAGATAAGTTCATTCATATGTACATGTTCCAGGGAATATGACCTGATGTCTTCAGAGAATGACTGAAGCTGAATCATGTCCTCCAAAGAGATTTCCCTATTTCATCGTTAAGAAAAAGATTTTATTTATTTATTTGAGTGGTAAGAGTTACAGACAGAAAGAAGGAGAGACAGAGAAAGGTCTTCCATCTTCTGATTCATCCCCCAAATAGCCACAATGGCCAGAGCTGGGCCGATCTGGAGACAGGAGTTTTTTCTGGATCAGTAGGGGCCTGAGCACTTGGGCCATCTACTGCCTTCCCAGGCCATAGCAGAGAGCTGGATCAGAGGTGGAGCAGCCAGGACTTGACCTGGCACCCATGTGGGATGCTGGCACTGCAAGCGGTGGCTTTACCTGCTATGCCACAGCAGTTTTATTTATTTTTATTTGAAAGGCTGAATAACAGAGAGAGATTTTCCATCCAACAGTTCACTGCCCAAATGCCCGCAATAGCTGGGGCTGGGTTGGGCCAAGCCAAGAGCCCAGAACTCTATCTGGGTCTCCCACTTGGGTGGCGGGGACCCAAGTAATTGAGCCATCCCTGCTACCCCCCACCCAGTTGTGCATTAGCAAGAATCTAGATGAGAAGCAGAGGAGCCAGACTGCAGCCCAGGCACTCCCATATGGGGTGTGGGCATCCAGATGGTGTCTTCATGGCTGCTCCAACCACCCACGCCAAGTCCTGCCCATCACTGGAAGCCTCCCACAATGATGCCAGTTGCTGCTTGTTGTTCCAGATCCTCCCTCCCACCTCTCACCGTGGCCTCTGGCTTCCTCAGGGCCAGACTTGTCTCTGCTGTAGACACTGGCACCTTGAGCTAGGGGTGTGAGCACACACACAAGCAGAGGGCCTGGCTTCCGACGTCAACTCCAGTGCTGAATTGCTGTGTGACGTTGGGCAGCTAAGTGACTTCTCTGTGCCTCAGGTGTGCGCACACCTCCACGAAGCCCTGCAGTTGGCAGGTCCAGAGGAGGTTGCCTTTCAGAGCCTGACCACACGGCATCTTACGGTGGAGCCCAAAGCTCCCAATTCCTCTTTGAATAGGATCACCCCCCATCCTGACCCCTCCCGGAGAAGGTGAAGGATTGTGTTGATGTAGCAGAACTGGAGAATTTGGCCAGGGAGCCCACGATAGCCCTCAGGTCAGAGCTGGGCCGGGGAGCCCGCGCCAAAGCCGAGACAATAGTTTCCTGGAAAAAGAAGGCTGCCTGAGCTCAGGGTGGCCTGGATCCTGCTTCATTTCCTGGAGCGGCTCCTGGGCCGGTTATTGAACAGCCAATAAAGCAGAGCTTATAAAAACCCCACGAGTTCGGGCTGCATCACTGCCCTGGTATCCTAGCACCGGTTGGTCTGGGGTTTCATTTGCTGATGGACAGAGGAGGGACTGTTGCAACACAAGGCCGGGGTGGTGTGGGCGAGGAGAGAATAGGATTATCGCTCTGCAGAGATTTGCCCGTGCCCTCTGCTGGGGAGAGGGGTCCTGCCTTGCCCGGCCACGCTCAGGGATCTGAGTCCCCCGGACCCTCTGCTGGGTTTGCCGCTGCCCTCTGTGAAGCCTTGAGCAATGTGAAAGGTCTGGGTAGCGATGCCGACTCCACAGAGATCTCTACACACGCGCCAGAGTTAAAGATGTGTTTCAAGTCTTCTGGCAACCCAGTGTGACCGTTGGCTTCCAAAATTGGGAAGAAAACAACACAAAACAAAAAATCATCATTCCCAAACCAGATATTTTCCAGTGTCCAGATGTTCAGTTGCATGCAAACCAAATGTCTGGATTATGAGCTCATTTTTTTAATTGTGTTTTTTTCAGTTGTTTACACGCGGATTTTGGGTCCAACTGGTCAGAAGCCCTCCCAGGGTGTCCATTCCCCAGCCACTCCCGCTCCCCTGCTCCTGCCTCCTCTCTGCCCTGCTCCCGGCATCCCCCGACTGCCCTTTTCATCGCACCATAGCAGTCGCAGCTCGTGCCCAGAACAGGGCTGCCCTCGCCAGCAGGACTCCAAGCAGAAGAGGCGGCGTCTCTCCAAGGAAAAGTTGTCTTGAGCGTTCCGAGCCTGGTCTTCTCCAGACGACCCCAGAAGGGAACAAGGGCAGGTCCAGAAGTGCAGACGGAGGTTTCCAGGCAGGGAGGTCCAGGGAGAGAGACTGGGAATGCAGACGGGAGCTGCGGGCCGGGGTCAGGCATGGAGTCCACCTCGGGGTCATAACCTCACCAAGGGCAAGCACGAACACAGTCTGGGAACCAAAGGCCATGGTCAAGACCGCAAATGAGACACGCCTTTAAAAGGGGTGATGGGAACCGTACAGGAGCAGGGCCTGACTGTCCCAGGTGGCGAGTGCCAGGGCAGAGCGCCCGCAGCCACAGTCCCTTTTAGCAGGATGCTGTGAAATCCGTCTCTTGGAGATGTTCTTCCAGTGGAGTGGAGAGTGGGAGCAGGCAGCCTCGGCCTGGCTGGCACCGGACGTCCGTCCCCTTCCACGACTCAAGGCGGAAGTTCCTCCACCACCGACCTTGACTCCGGTTCTAGCCCTCTCTCTCCCTTTCCAATCTGTCCCCAAGCAGGAGGGGAGAATCTGGAACCAATGCTGTACCAGCCACACCTACGTGGAGTTGTTAAGTGGGAGAGAACTTGCTGTTGGAGGCTGGGCTGGCCCCTGGCAACAGGACAGACGTGTGTCCCTGCAGTCCGGTCAGCCAGGGTACCTGCTCTGGGAAAGTCAGCTCCTGAGGAGCGATGGGAATCGGGTCCTGAGAAGATCCAAGGAAGCCTAAAGGACCACTCACTCTGGTCACTTCACACCATGGAGACGGCACTAGGGAGGACCTGCCCGGTGCTGTCCCAGTAATGTGGCGCCCTGGATGGGCTTCCAAAACCTGACCTGTGAGCCTCTTGGGAAGTAGTTAGCTAGCTACCTATCATCTATTACCTGCCAATTGAGTATCTATCATCTATCTCGATCTCTAGCTCTCTTTCTCCTTTTTTTTTTTTTTTAAGATTTATTTATTTGAGGGGCCGTTGCTGTGGCTCACTAGGTTAATACTCCATCTGTGGCGTAGGCATCCCATTTGGGTGCCGGATTCTGTCCCGGTTGCTCTTCTTCCAGTCCAGCTCTCTGCTGTGGCCTGGGAAAGCAGTGGAGGATGGCCCAAGTGCTTGGGCCCCTGCACCTGTGTGGGAGACATGGATAAAGCTCCTGGCTTCTGGCTTCAGATTGGCGCAGCTCTGGCCGTTGCAGCCATTTGGGGAGTGAACCAATGGAAGGAAGACCTTTCTCTCTGTCTCTCTGTCTCTGTCTCTCTCTCTCTCTCACTGTCTGTAATTCTATCTGTCAATAAATAAATTTTTAAAAAAGTAAAAAAAAAAGAGAGATTTATTTATTTGAAAGGCAGAGAGTTACAGAGAGGCAGAGGAGAGAGAGATATCTTTCATCTGCTGGTTTATTCCCCAAATGGCTGCAAAGGCCGGAGCTGCACCGATCTGAAGCCAGGAGCCAGAAGCTTATTCCGGGTCCCCAACATGGGTGCAGGGGCCCAAGCACTTGGACCATCTTCTACTCTTTTCCCAGGCCTTCAGCAGAGAGCGGGATCTGAAGAGGAGCAGCTGGGAATTGAACCGGCATCCTATGGGATCCCAGCACCACAAGCGGAAGCTTACCTTCTATGCCACAGCACTGGCCCCCTTGCATCATTTTTCCTGCCTCTCTCCATGTATTTCTCTCCATCTTTCACTCTATAAGGCTACTTCAAAAACTTCATGGAAAATGTGTGATATGAAAAAAATACTAATGCCCAGAAGGTGGGGCCAGCGCTGTGGCATCACGGATAAAGCTGCCGCCTGCAGTGCCTGCGTCCCATATGGGCACCAGTTCGAGTCCCAGCTGCTCCTCTTCTGATGGAAGCGGCAGATGGAGGACCTCTCTCTGTGTCTCTCCCTCTCTGTCTGTAGCTCTGCCTCACAAATAAATAAATAAAAATCTTTAAAGAAAACTATGAAAACGTGTAAAGTAGGAAGTCTCCCTCCCACACTCTCCGTTTCTCTCGTTCTCGACGTTGCTCCATCCCTGGAGAGGAAACCACGGTGATTGGTTTTTGCTGTGTCTTTCCAGAGGGTCCTTATGCAAATGAAAATTACCTGATAATATGCTCTTATGTCCCCCTTCTGTATACAAAAGATGGACTACCGTAATCTCACTCTGCGCCTTTTTGATCACTTAATAATAAAAACGTGATTTTATTAACAGGTGTTTATGGAGTAATTATCATGCCTCAGACGCCGTGCATGCGTGCGTGGCTCTGAGCGCACCCTGGAGAGCAGGATGCAGACACAGGATTCAAGGATCTGAGAACCTAGGGACAGAGCCCAGCGGCTTATCCACTGATAACCACATCATGGGGAGCCGAAAGCTTTAAACCAAGTCAGGTCGCAGGAGGAAGAGGGGGCAGGAGGGGGAGGAGATGACAGCCAACCCTGAGGACACCGTGGGGAGATGCTGCCTGAACAGCCAAGAATGGGGAAGCGGGGGATTTTGTCAGGTTGAAGACCTAGAGGTGAGACACACAGGAAGTGACAAGTAGACTTGTCACCCTGGAGAGGATGCAGTGAGCGAGGCATGTGTGCCGTGTAAGGCACAGAGAGTTTGGGCTCCACAGCCTGGGATTCAGATCCTGGTTCTGCCTCCTATTAGCCAGCAGGGGTCCCTCCCACCCCCCACCAAATGGGCATAGAACTGCTTTGTTGGAAGGAGTAAGTGAGGCAACATTAGTAGACACTGCAAACATCAAAGACCCAGAGTGTGCGTGGGTAAGGCTGGGAAGGTCGACGAGAAGTCCCATCTGACGTGGCCGTGGAGGGCTTAAGGCAGAGTTTAGGCTTTATTCTGAAGGGAACGCTGGAGAGTCTGAGATAAAGCAGTGACTTCTTGGGGCCGGTGCTGCAGGCGGAGCGGGTAAAGCGCCTCCTGCAGTGCCAGCATTCCGTATGGTCACCAGTTTGAGTCCCGGCTGCTCCACTTCTGATCCAGCTCCCTGCTGAGGCAACTGGGAAAGCAGTGGAAGACGGCCCAAGTATTTGGGCTCCTGCACCCACGTAGGAGACCAGGAAGGAACTTCTGCCTCCTGGCGTCAGCCTGGCCCAGCCCTGGCCCTTGCAGCCATTTGGGAAGTGAACCAGCAGATAGAAGACCCATCTCTCTCTCTCTCTCTCTCTCTCTCTCTCTGCTTCTTCCTTGTCCTCTCTGTAACTCTTTCAAATAAATAAATAAATTATAAAAAAAAGTGATTTCTTGGGTGGCTGTTGTGAGGCAACACTTTGTAGCCTATATCCAATACTGAAGCACCTGGGATGGAATCCTGCCTCTGAACCGGTTTCTTGCTAATGTGCACCCTGGGAGGTGAGTACTTGGGTCCCTGCCACCCACATGGGAGACCTGCTACCCTTGTGGAATTCCTGGCTTCAGCCTAGCAGGCATTTGGGGAGTGAACCAGAAGATGGAAGACCTCTCTCTTTCACCCTCTGCCTCTCTGTAACTCTGCCTTTCAAATTAATAAATAAATCTTAAAAAAAAAAAAAAAAGAAAACATATTCCAAAGATACCATCATATAATTACAGGGTTACTACCAACTAAAGCTGCATTTCTTAATAAAACTATACATCATTTTTATTATAAAGTAAACTGTATATGATGTGTGGTTGCCTTTTGTTGGTGACCAATAGATAAGATTTTAATACCACCTTCCAGTGCTTAATGAAATGCCACTGTACCTTCTCTTCTCAGTCCTGCGCCTATACAAAGCCAGGAGCTTCTTCCAGGTCTCCCACATGGGTGCAGGAATCCAAGGACTTGGGCCATCTTCCATTGCTTTTCCAGGCCATAGCAGAGAGCTAGATCGGAAGTGGAGCAGCCAGGACTTGAACCAGCACCCACGTGGGGTGCCAGCAATTGCAGGCAGTGGCTTTACCTGCTACGCCACAGTGCCAGCCCCAGAATATATGTTTTCATTCAACCACCATTTATGCAGCACCTACAAAGAGATGCTGAAGTCCCTGGAGCCAGCTGGTCACACCGGGGACTGCGAGGGCCCACCGAAGAATTCCACAACCTCAGTCAAACCCCTGTGCCTGTTGGGAGCATCAAGGCAGAGAAAGCAAAGCCAGAGCCTCAGAGAAGCTGTCATCTTCCTTCAGTCCCGTTGTTAACAACGGTCACATCTGTCTCTAACCCCCCCGCTCCCCGCTCCCCACTCCCCGCTCCCCGCAGCGGGAAGGAAGCAGCGCTGTGGCACCAAGGACGCCAGAAGAGCTGGGTCAGGAGGACAAGGTGATGGCATCAACAGTGTAGGTCGTAAGGTTGGCCGAGAGGAGTCGGGGCTTCTCTGGCAGGTTGTTGGCAATGGGTGGTGTGTCACTACCTGGTTCTGTTCTCCCTGTGGGAGTTCAAGACTGGAGAGCGGGGAGCCTCATACCCACTTGACTTCCTCACCAGCGTCTCCTGCCGTGTGGCGGGGTCCTGCTCTTAGGGAGTAGAGGATGCTGAGGGCGGGGTGGTGCCGGCTGCAGGATAGACTTCATGAGGTCTTACCTGAGGTGGCGGACAGAGACGGCACACCAGCTGTGACCTGGCAAATCCCTTGCCAACCTGGAGCTCACATCTCAACCCAACAGCTGTGCCAAAAATAATCCCGGGCAGTGGAAACATTCAGAGTGAAGATAGTCTATGGGGCACGTTGAGATGCTTCCAAGGACACCTTCTCTGAGACAAATAAAATGATTTTACTGGGAAAGAGCCGGTGCCTCCCAATCATCTCGGAGGCGAAACAGCCATGTCTCCGGGCACTCACACCTGGGTCGAAGCCCTGGCTGCTTTAACCGTGAGCAGGGAAGCCTCAGGGTCCTGGCTCACCGCCCAAGGAAGAGGCGTCGGGGGTGGGGTGCTGGTTCTTAGATCCACATCCCAGGCGATAGTTGTGCCTGTAAAGCCAGCTGTCCCCCTCGGGCCGAGCTAGGGGGCCACAACGCTGGTTCTAACAGTCACCGGCACACACACGCCACATGGACCCCGGACACCAAGTTCTGCATTTTCGCAAGCCTCAGACCAGAAGGTACCAAACACCCAGGCGAAAAATTCTATTAGGAACAAAGGAATCTATTCCTACAGGCTGCTGAAATGCTAGAACACCCAGAAATGTAAGTGAATTTGTGGTGTTTATCCAAATCTTTTATAGAGGGGAGAAGAGACTGAGATAAATAATCAGCGTGTTCAGGTAGAGAGACGGGAAGACAGACATGGCTTCCCCGACCCCGCAGCAGCAAAGGGACCAAACGCTCCAGGGCAGCTCCGTCGTTAGGATCAAACACGAAAGCAGCCGCACAGGCCGGGAAACATCTGACGTGACGTGGCAGCTATGCCACATGCAAGCTGTTCGTGACACCAGAAAGCCAAACACAGAAAATCATGGCTGCCTTGCTATGATGCAGCTGTAAATACCCCTTCCACCTCACCTCTTAGGGAGACCCCTGCCACTAATCAGCCTCCAGAGTCCCTAGGTGCCTACTCCATGCATTTTTATATTTTTTGATTTTTTTAAATTTGCAGATCACTGAAATGCACAGTTCCTTTTTTAAAATTTTTTTAATTGAAAAACATTTTTTGTTTGCTTGTGAGACAGAAAGAGAGAGATCTTCATCTGCTGGTTCATTCCTCAGAGGCTCACAACAGCCAGAGCTGGGCCAGGCCAAAGCTGGGAAGCCAGGAACTCAATCCAGGTCTCTCGTGGGAGTAGTAGGTACCCCGTCACTTGAGCTATCACGGCTGCCCCCCAGAGTCTGCGTTAGCAGGAAGCTGGAGCCTGGGGCTGGGACTTGGACCCAGACATTCCAATGTGGGATGCAGGTGTCTTAAAAGCCAGGCCCGATGCTCCCCACCCCCACCCCAGTGCAGGCGTTATAGACGCGCTCTGTACTGACAGGCTGGGCTGTGCAGGCTGCAACATGGCCTTGGTTCCAACCGCTTCCTCCTCGACCACGGAGACCACTGTCTCAGATCTCCCTTTTGCTTGACACCCAAGCCAGCTTGACACAGCAAGTTTATGGACCATTTGGATAATTCAGAGTCCCCAGGAAATCAGATAGGGGTAGAGAAGTGCTTCGGGGCATCCAAACTAGCCCATGCCCTGTGTCTCCCCCTCCTTCATACAAACTTCTCGAAGTCACTCTCACAGCTGCACAGGAAAGAGCTGGAGACAAAAGCCAGTCGGTGGAGCCCCCTCTCACTTCCAGAAACAAGGAACAGCCTCCAAGGGATTCATTTACTCTCTCTGTAAACTGGGTAGAGTCACTCTCCCCCGGCCCTCTCTCTGGGTACTTCATTAGGCAAATGTACACAGGCACTTAGAAAATTGAAAAACAACATAAGGACATGAGAGGGCTTCCCCTTTAGGCCACAGCCAGGACTTCAGTCCAACCCCCTGCCTCCAGTTCAGTGCTCATCCAACTCCTGCTGCACGAGGAGGCCGGCACCGGCTTGGCCAGGGCAGGGCAGCAGATGAGAACCAGCGGCTGCACTAACCAACTGGGCTGGAGCAGGGTGACCTGGGAGACAGAGGCAGGTCCTAATACTTTCTGGGTGTAGCCCAGGGTGTAGCTGCAGAAATACCACCTGCTTTCCTTCCTCTTGAATATTAAAAACTCCTGGTGCTCTTTCTCTCTCTCTCCATGTCCTAGATCACAATACGAAGCTGAAATTAATATTCTGTTCCAGTACACTGTGGCATCCTCCCTTTGGGGGTTGAAATGATGGCTTTTAATAAGCTGGCTCCAGGCACCTGTCACAGTAATGCCAGTTCTAGCTGGGAAGACGGATCGCTTCTTGTTAAAAGATCATGAGGCAATAAATTTCTGGGACATAGCTCAGCTTCCAAATCGGGGCTCAGGAGGATCAATTCCATCTTCTGGCACCTGCCCTTGGGTCCTGGGCCCTGTTGACCCCCACCGCTGGCCTCACAGAGTTCAGTCCTGGCTTGCACCAGGGGGAGCAGGGGTAGATTCACATAGGCAGAACTTGCAGGTGTGACTGCCCCAGGGCTGGGCCAGTGGAGGGAGGCTCTGCTGTCAACAAAGTCAAATCCCCAACATTCCAAGGACCCAGGTCACTACAATCTCAAAATTGTAGACATTCAAACAAATGCAATGACACCCTTTCATCTGTTGGATGTTTCTCTCTCTCACGTCTATCCACTGGT